TTTGATGTTGGTAAAAAAATATTCTAGAAATTATACTTTCAAACATACGTATATATTATAAATAGACTTGAGCAAAAATGTACCAAAAACAACAACAATGTTACATCTTACCATCTTACTAATATTATTAATGCGAAAGTTTGGATTTACAGATGGATGGTAGGATTTATGGATAAGTTTTGTAAGAAGATATCTCCAGAACAGATACAGGAATCTCGCTGAAATTTGGCATAAATGTAGAACATGGTCTGAAAGAACACATACGATACTAATTTTCTTTTTAATCCATGCGGACGGAGTCGTAGGCGGCAGCTAGTTAGGGCATAAAGATAAATTCACATATCATGCGTGTGTTCCATATCGCGTTCCTAACTATTAGACTTCAAGATTGAACGGCGACGTTACATCTAACTCACTTTCGCTATATCTCTGTAAACTGATATCTATCCTTTAACACTTTCGGACAAAATTAACTAGACATTTATAAAAAGTTTTCTTGGAAACATTTTTATATGTAAACTACACATTTTATCAAGTAAGGTTTTTTTGGTGGTGATTTAAAAATTTATGCTCTTAGTTTCATAATAATGCTGTAATAAAAATTAACTCAACCGGGGAAATATGGAATCACAGACTAAAAAAGACGCAGAATATTTTTCTTATTCCTTTGCTGTTACAAAAGGGTAAAAATGTATTTTGTAATTTTTATATCATTGTTTACATTTATCGCCAGCGTTAGTCACTTCAATTAAAAAACTCATGTAAAATGTACAATGTAAAAAAAAGGTAACCCAAAAATGTGTATAGTCCCCAAGAATGTGATTCTAGGATAACTTCTAGCCTTTTGTATCGGGCCCTTAATCCAACTGTTAAGCGAGAGCTTCTTGAGATGTTGGTCGAAGCTCTTCGCTATCAGTCCATTCACCGATACGACTATCGGAATAATGGTAGTCGATTTCATACGCCACATGGCGGTAACCTCGTGAGCCAAATCTAGGTATGTTAACAATTTTTCCTTTTCAGCTTTCACGAGATTCTCGTCATGTGGAATAGTGACATCGACTAACATTACACAACTCTCAGACCGGTCTATTATTACTATATCGGGCCTATTAGCAGCAATAGTCCTATCCGTAATAATAGATCGATCGCAGTAGAGCGTGATATCGCTGTTTTCCAGAACGGGTGAAGGTTGGTACTGGTAATACGGTTCCTCAGCATCCACAAGGGCTTTAAAATCTAGTTGCTGGTGAATGATCTTGGCCACTTGGTTGATTCTAAATTATTATGTCAAATACGTAATGTTAACCTAAAAAAATTTCCTGTACCCTACCGTAATTAGGTAACACTTGTGCTAACCTCTGCGTAAAATGTAGGCGAAGGATTTTGCGAGAGCTACCAAATTAACCACTTAACGTGGCCTATAGTGTACGAACCCTCAATTTGTACCGGGAGACGTCGCTATAGAGATCGCTTCATTTTGGGTCGAATTTATATAACAAATTGTTACATGTAGTTTTTATAGATCTTAACTAGTAACCTAACCCAGCTTTGTCTACATAGATGATAGAAAAAATATCTAATAAAACCTTTCTAGGAAATTTCTAGGAATAGATTCCAAGTTTGACTGACGAAGTAATCTTTTAACTTAATCATAAAGTAGAAACCATAACATTGGTTACTCGCACTGGGACAGTGTGAATGACTATGACGACTATTATAGTGACCTTAAATTTGAGTAGACTCCGAGTACCTTGGTGGAGATCATATATAGTATAACTATATGATATGTCTGTAAATAAAACAATACCAGTTATAAAGAACATTCGTGTCCATTGACCCGCGCCGGACGCACCGCACGCACGACCCGCAACGGATTTTACTTTGCTTTGTATAATTTTACATAGTGCTGTGTCCATCATCTGGGCCGCTCGCGTCGAAAGACAAAGCAAATCTGTATAATACTTGCGTGCGGTGCGTCCGGCACGGTACAATGGACGCGTACCTTAAATGTCGACACTTTCTCCGAAGTATAAATTACTCAGAAGTAAGTAGTCGTATATATATTCTACTATCATTGTAACGTAGATATAGACCATAAATAGATCGTTATGTATCATTGTGTACATTTGTCAAAGGCTTACGTCGCAGCCAGTCAGCGGCGTGTGAAATTGTCTTCAGCGCCTGATGCAACTAAATCGCAAAATACAAATAACAATAAATTTCACTTTACTGAGATATCACCATTCTATTTCAATTACATCTTGTCAAGGTAGATTTTTTTTTGCTAAAATTCTGCATTTAATGCCTAATTAACTTGACTAATAACTATATTTTCGCAAATAGCAGAACGAACGAAACTAATTTAATTATTTTAAAAGTCTTTTTTTCGTGAAAATTAAAAACAAAAGAGTGTCGTTACAAAAACTTTATTAAAAACTAAACTAAGTACTATTTTATGAGAAAATTCACTTGAAACTGAATGCGTAAATGTATAAAACGCTGAATTTAATCTAAAAAGGACACAACGGGAACACAATACGCTGTAATTTGCGCGGCCATTGTTCTCTGTTCAAGATGTAGGAATAATCACTGACATACTATTGTGTACACTTTTAGTATATTGAAAAAATACATATGATATATTAAAATTCTGTTCAAATGTAAAGTAAATATTTTTACAAACAAACAAAATTTTTGAAAACAGCTTTAGCCCGTGATTTCGTGTGCTATTAAACCAAAATTTTAAAAAAAAGTTTATAATTTCTTTTATCATGCCTTTATAAATAGACTGGCTATAAGACGTAGTATTTTGTGCCCACTTGATTTTCGCCATTTTGGCGCTGATGGTAGTGGTTTGTAGCAGTGGTGTGGATTTGAACTAATAATATAACAACAGGCGCGTTTTTTTTGATGTTACAAATTGACTTTCCAACAACGAAACACCTTTACAAAAGTATATCTTCTCAGTTTTTTTTAATATAAAATGAGCGAGACATAAATAGGTTTACTGATTTAGTCTACTTTCTTCTCAAATTTGTTAACACAAATCTTGGCAATTGAAGATATTGATGTTCAATCCCGGTGACCCTCTTGCACGTCCACTACAAAGAAAAAGCTCATTAGAAACATTAAATTTTAATAAATAGGAAAAATATGAGACGGTATAAAGAGGAAATATGAATAGTGGAAATTAAAACAATAGAAATGGTTCAAGCATAATGACTCGCTGTTCTGTCGGAAATTTGAAATATTTACTGTGTTGCTATTTAAGAAAAATAAATAAAAATATCTAAGTTGCTACTTTATTATCCTACTAGCTGCCGCCAGCGACTCCGTCCGCTTTGAATAAAAAAACCTAATTAGTAAAAACTTAATTCTATGCTAAATTTAAGGGAGATCCATTCATCCGTTTTGAAGATACTTTACTATGTTCCGGCAATGAAACCCTTGGCTTATCAAACACTGAAATTGTACAATAATATTAACAAACAAGCCCCTGGAAATATAGCTATGCCTTTTTCTTTTTAATTTCAAATTGAATAAAGCAATCTTATGCCAATGCCAGTTCACAAAACAAAAATTTAAAAAGTAATATTTGCTAGTAATAAATAAACTAGAGTTCCATAAACATATTTATATGAGAATAGGGATGTAACTACAGGTCCAAAGGTCATTAAACCCATAGTCATTAAATAAAGCAATACTGAAACACAACTGGCACTAAAGAATGTTTAAATGACGTCACCTATTCAATTGACGTTATCAATCTTCAGAACTTTAACTGCTTTCGTCATTGTATTAAGTAAGTAGCCCCGAATTTAGTGTTTGGAACGCACAAATTCTTCCTAGTAATGGCGGGAAAAAATCTAAAAAAAAACCTTAATAAGCCTGACGAATGTTTTTGTCTATGTTTCGGTTAGCGTAGATACAATTTATTTTTTATTCAACATTTTTACTGAATACAATTTGAGAAGAAGCATTTCATGTTGTACCAGCTAGATTTCATTACAGATAATAAACAATTAATTCAGACTAAAGCTCGATTAAAGGTTAAAATTAATTATCTATCGTGATTAATTTGTAATTCAATACGTAAATTAAAACAAATGTAACTCAACGATTATAATTAATTGATAGCAAAAGATAAATGCAATAGCAAAATAATTTCATCAAATCGTATATTAATCAGATTTATTCGTCTGACTCCTGGAATTGATGTAGTCAATTTGTGGAACATGTTCCAGTTAGATTCCACTAATTGGACATAACTTCAACACGTGCTATAAATTAAGAGGAATTTATAGGTCATTTGGGTTCGACTTGAAGATCCCTCGATATTTGAAACTTGGGACTAGGTAATAATTAGATTTCTATATATTTAGACACGGAATAACAAGTAAATTTGAAGTAAAAATTTTCACTTTTTGGAATTGTAAATAAAATGTTTACTTGTTGATTGTTCACACACATACATTTTATATTCAACTTTTAATACCTTGACGCCTGAATTGGTTTAGTAGCAAACATGTAAAATCTACAATTTAACCTAAACTCTTTATGGAACTCCCATAAATTTATGGTTGTAGACAATAACAGAGCAGGAAATTTTTAAATGTCTCCTAGACACCTTTAGAAGGTCGTTCCTGCACTAGCGTTTTCCATTTTCTGTAAGTGAAAATGAAATATGTACTGCAAAACATAAAATTTTGATTGTATCAATGTTTGTGCTCGATCTTTTTGGGTTTTTGATGTCCAGTAATAAACAGTATTCAAATTTAATATAACATCTGTGTTTTTCGTAAATGCTTTAAGTCATAAAAAATTTTTTTTCGACATAAGTCAAAGAGTATATAAAATAATAATAATAATAATAAATAATAAAATAATATGACTTAAGTTTTCAACGTTTTTAATCTGTATTTAGTAAATGTCAAATTTAAAAAACCGGTACGAAGCGCAGCACACCATAGCCAATAAGCAAAACAGTCATGGTTCGCAGCACGCCGCACCGCACTACAGTTGCCCATAGACATTGTGTTTTGACAAAGTTGTCGTGAGATAAAAATGACGATCCTTACTTTTTAATTAAAATTAAAATAAAATTAAGTGCCTTATAAACATGACTGTGTGGAAAAACCTTGAAAATGAGGATTGCTACGCCGTCGGTGAGTTTTTTATTTCATAACTTACAACTTTCGTATTAAGGAGTTATCAAATTTTTTGATAAAGTTTCCTAATCGCTTGTAGAACTTCCCTCCCGCGGAGTCCAGATAAATATAAACATTGCCTCATTCTCTTCGTTGATATCAGTTCCATCCTGGTACAAAATTGCATTTTTACATAACATCTTAGTAAGTTTTTATAAGTTATTTGACCACTCCCATAACGTATGATTAAGTAGTCTTATGATAAGTATTTTATAACAATTGGAAAATACGCGGGAGACAATACTTAACAAATATAATTTCATTCATGCTTTTGTTGTTCTTTGCCTAAATTATATTTGTTTGCTATTTCCATCAAAAGCATGCTAAAATAACATGAAGTTTTTAATTTTATTTTTTTGCTATTGACAATTATCGAAAAAAATATGCTTCTCGTATTTTTTTTTTATATCATCGTATTTATTAAAAATACCAAACAAAGTTGTTATACCTCCTTCAGGTCATAAAAAATAAACCAATGTAATGGGAGAACATTTTAGGTCTAATTACATGAAAGCCTTTGAATGTATCAAGATGGCAACTTGTTTTCATACAAGTGTTTTGAGAGTGGAAATGTTAGTAGTTAAGCTTAATAGTTCAACCTTGATAAGCAAGAGTACAAGGGACAATATTTTTCTCGCTTATAGAAGTTTCACTATAATCCTAGTTTCTCGCTTATGAAGGTTAACCATTGGGATGTTTTAACTACTTTTCTGCAATACATTTATATTTTAAAAGAATAAATAAACAGAGAATAGATAGAGTAGAGTCAATTAATACTGACCTTAATTATACATTTCTAAAATTACTGGATATTTATTTAAGATTTTTATGACAACCTCTATTATGAATTTAAAAATTCCTGATAAATAAATACTTTACAAGTGGATTATCTGTCATCTGTCAAGGCAATAGCTGTAAAAATAACCTTAACCTTAGAAATAACTGAACAAATTAAAATTTACCTGATTAAGAATTTATGATTCTGTCAAAAGTAGTTAATTATTTTGTTAAAAGATGTCACTAGTATATATATATGTAGGTGTGTATTAGACATGTATTGGGGTCAAGTACAGGGCCTTGCATAGTGATGTTTAAATGAGGAAATACCTCATAAAGATTTGTTTGCTGTTGGAATCTGCCGAGTGATTTGATTTAACCATAAATTAGCATTAATAAACATAATATTATCTACCGTAATTTTTTAGTATTAAATATATTGACAAATATTATCAGATCAATAAATATTAGGTTCGTCCGATGTTAAATTGCTATTTTATATTATACTAGCTGTCGCCCGCGACTCCGAAATTTGGGATAACAGTTAGACGGATGAAAAATAGATGTTGGCCGATTCTCAGACCTACTCAATATGCTCACAAAATTTTATGAGAATAGATCAAGCCGCTTCGGAAGAGTATGAGAACGAAAATTGTGACACAACAATTTTATATATAAGATAAAAGTTTAACTTTTTTATTGTTATCACAAAAATGCTCTGACTCATTATTAATACTTATTGAAAAAACTTTAGATGGTGGTTGAGCACAATAATCTTATTATATTACTAATATTATAAATGCAAAAGTTTAGATGGATGTTTGTAAAAAGGTATCTCTGGAAAAACTCAACAGATTTTGATAAACATAAAGCCATTTTAACACTAAGTTCCTAAGCCATTAAAACTTAGAAATTTGTATATTCTATAACTGCCTTTATCTACATTGATTGGATAGTATCAAATCAGGTTAACCTTTAAAGTAGGTTAACCCTTTGTGCACAACAAAGGTAGACCAATGCTACACAGCATGTAAAGCCAACCTATGTTTCCCGCAGCATTTCCTCATACAATCATTATAAAGTCCGCTGCTATTGTTAGACTGACCTCTGTATATCATGTATATTTAGTCATGTTACAAGTTTATGAGCTCCTAGTACTTGTCATGTAATTATTTGTAAAACAAATCACAAGTCATGTCTATAACCTAGAAAGGTAGGCAGAAACCATGGATCTCCGTTTGGCACGGCCTAGCAAACTTCCACAATACACTTTTCTCTATTTCTGGAGACGGAATGTGACGAGTGGAGAGCCCTTACTCCCTTTTTTTGTAAAATAAATGATTGCAAATGGTTAAAAAATTATTTCATGAATGTTTTATGATAATACATTTTTGAATATTTCTACTATGCTTGTCTTCTATACATCTGTACATATAATATAATTGGAGTGTCCATATGTAATGATGTATTTACTTTACTCTCTATTTTTGTCTGTCTGCCTGTTTGTCTGTCCGCAAGTCCGTTTGTTCCTGGTAATCGTCGGAATGGTTTGATCAATTTGAAGATAACTGATGGATATGGGCATGTTGCATGTTTTTGCAAGTAAAGAATATTAAATTGGTCAAGATCAAGTTTATTTATAAACTAAGTTGTAGGAAACTTTCCCCTTCGATTTTCTCCTTAATCAATACTCACTACTTGCGTTACAAGTGCTAAACTTAGATCTAACTTAGTGCGTACAAGGAGATGCCGAGTATAGGCTAGTTTTTACAGCAGTGCTTTTCTTGTGCCCAGCAGACAAGGAAAATGTGTATTGGATTTGTCCCATTGAAATTTATAGAAAGTCACATCGCTATCTCTCTTATTCCTTTTGATAAACCAGAGACAACAATACTGTTTTTTGTGTAAATTTTTCCGCATCGAAGAGACGTGTTATTTTCGTGTCTCTAAAACATTTAATCCAGTTTTAGTAGTTTAGTCTTTAGTTGTCGAAGTTAGTTAGTCTTAGTCTTTAGTTAGTCGAAGTATCCAGATTAATCTTACTTCTTAATAATATTATAAATGTGAATGTTTGGTTGGATGGAAGGATGGATGTTTGAAGCTATCACCAAAACAGTTGAACGGATCTTAATGAAATTTGGAATACATGTAGAACATAATCTGGAGGAACGTATAGACTACTTTAATTACGTTTTTTTTTAATACCGCACAGACGGAGTTGCAGGCAACAGCTAGTTATTGCATACATTTGACTTATTCACCGTTTTAATTTTCGTAAAGCGACCTCGTTTGTACAAAGGCTTTATGGTGAAAAAAATCGTCACAGGGCCGGACTGCCAGTTATCTGAGGTACCGTTGTATGACACAATTAGCTGAAAACAATATCAATGTCTTTTTTTAACATACGAATTAACATTTTATATTAGCGTTTTTGAATGTCCACGTTTGACCCCGCTAAAGTGGTTTTCGATTTGAATATGTACATTTATCAGGTGTGCGTACGGTGGAGGAAAACATCGTGATGCAACTTGCACATATGTGCTAAGATCTTCAAAGATATGTGTGAAGTCAAACCCGCACAGAGCCAGCGTGGTTTACTATGGCCTAGTCACCCTTATTCGAGTAGACTCTGAGCCTTTCAGTGGGGACATATGAGCTGAAGGCAACATAAGGGAGTTAACATGAGATTAGTATTCAATATATAACTTAATGTATCACTTTAATTAAACTTGTAGAAAAGTATATCATTATCTTTTAAGAGAATGAGTCAGTGTTGAAGAGTTCAAAGTTTCAGTATTGGAAATCCAAGGTGATAATTATAAATACAGGTCTTATTACAAGTTAGTATTACTGTATACTACGATGATATTATGACTAAAATGGATAAAATTATATTCGTTGTAATGTACTGGTAAATAAAATTGGCATTCCATCGCGTCTGGTCCCCTAAATTTGCATTAACTCGCGACGCGGCCCCATTCCCCACCTGAGGAAGTCCAATTGTAAACTGTCAAAGTCGCGTCACATAATCGAGGACGCCGTCGCCGTCCCGAAATGCAATCCAGACCCTCAATACAAGGCAAAGCCAAAACAAATTGTGTAATTCAAAAATCAAAAGTTTTGGTATTTCTATACCTAATCTGACATAGAAAAATAAGGGTATTTTGTGTCCAGATTGGCGTTTGAGGGAAGGAATTACCGCCGTAAATAATTTTTTGATGAATAAGTTGCTCTTTTCAAAGATGTGTTTGTTTCGAAGTAATTTAACCTCAATTGAACCGTTTGTTAGTTTTTCCTTTTACGAAGTAGTTTCTATGCATACGTAACATAGATGCTATGGTACAAACAAGGCGACAACTAATATGACACAATGCGTACGCAACGGCCAACAATGCGCACCAAAACACGCATCGCCGCGCACCGCATGTTGATTGGATTCGCCATAGAATATAAAATATATGGATACGATATCCCAACGAGGGATAACTATCATTGGACAGAGACATCAATACTTAACGTTTAGATCTTAATTGAAGCCTTACTCGTGTTTTAACAGAGTTTCCCTAGGCATCTAATGCACATTTGCATCTCTCACCATAATGTTTCAAAACAATTATAAGAACAAAAGGATGGAAATAGTGTATATGAATCATACCTTTAACTCATTGAGGTACGAGGTTACAATCCACCAGACTTACCACGCTGTTATCGTGATTCAAATGTAGTTCATATATTCGTTTGATTAATCCTTGTCCCAACTATAACTTCAATAAATTCGAAAATAGAATGCCACATCCATTAATTTAGTGATCTATGACATCCGAGACAGCGCACCTGGCATACGACACCGTGCTAACGATACCCGTAGCTAATAACGATGTTCAAACAAAGTAAAAGATCTAGATTGCATACGATATTAAATTTAGCTAAAATTAAAAGTATGAAAATATCTGAAAAAATGTATCCTCATACGATGTATCATAGCAACAAGATTTAATCTTTTGATTCTCCTTACACCAAATTGTTTGTATGCTTGATGTTAAAATATCCTTTACGTATTTAGCGCTTAAACTGGTTTAGCCGCGACAAGGGTTACGATAAAAGTTGATTGCGTGGGATGTGAAAGTAGGGTTTTGCGGATTTCGCACAATGTTTAATATTACGTATGTCATTTGTTTTAAGCAGCTGTAAATACGCCCACTATCGTAATATCTGGATGAAGTGGAATAATTCTCAAGATTTTCATATAGAAAAACTAACAAACCTATTTGCTATAGATACTTGTATTTTTTTGTCTTTGAGTGTGTTTAAATAATATTTTAATTTTTAATACGTAAGAATCGTTTGTACTTTAATTTGGTTATTTCAAACGGCGTTCGAATGCCGCCATGTTAAAATTAATCCCGCTCCGCAGTAAACAAAGCTAACAATTAACAGCTTTAAGTGATTCTTAATTGCTTCTTATTGTATCCGGCCCGTCTGGAATACAACTGTTCGTTTCGTACGTTAATATTGAATTAAACACATGTCCAAGCTTTCATATCGCGTCAGTATTTAAATAAAACGCTTAATAAAAACATGCATTATCGTTTTATTATTTATTCCGTTAGATGGCGTTGTTCTTAACCTTTGAATGACGCAATTTTTATTCCGATAGTAGCTGTCGCCCGAGACTAAAAAAATAACTAATTCAGTAGCGTATGTGTTCTTCCAGACTATGTTCTACATTTATGCCGAATTTCAGCAACATCCATACAACCTTTCTCGAGATACCTTTAAACAAACATCCATTCATCCTAACATTTGCATTTATAATATTAGTAAGATAGTCATGATGCGACATAAAAGTAAATTTAATGAATTAAATCGTCTTTGTCCTATTTACGATATAAATGTTGGCATTTCTTTCTAACGTGTAGTATTTGCCTTAAAGCAAAATCTGATACCAAAAGTAAAGGCGGATATTTCTTTACTTTGTAGGCGGATCTCTAGCTAGGGGCGTTATTGTTTTAAAATGTTATAATAACTTGGATGCGGGCTATCTTATAATAGCTTCTTTATTATCCCGTAAAATGAACGTAATATTCAAACTCTCATAATTACAACATGTACAAAAGGAATACAAGAAGGAAAGAAAAATTTAAACATAAATTGAGTTTGATAATATACTTACTTCTTTGGGAGCTGGAGATAGCTACATTTAAGGAAGATGTAATCCTTCAAAGACAGAGAATATTCTTTCTAGACTCTACTAAAGAAAAGTCCTTACTTGCGGATTCTCATCTCTTTCCCGTGCAAGAAATACTACTTAAGAGATGTCGTATGTGTAAGGATCTAGTTCGTTTTCACCCTAACTGTAAGATTTCATCGTCGGAATATTAATAAAATCAGCCAAATTGTGGAATTTCAAAGTGAGACAAGATTGTACGGAGAGTCGAAAAACTATGGGCAATTTGTCTTAAAAATATTCAGGAAAAAGTGCTCCGTTCACGCGATTCTAGCCCTCTATCAATCACCATTTAATCCTGTAGGATGAGACCGCCGTGGCAATAAATACTCCCCTTAATCTCTCAGTTTTACATATCTACTGCGAAGTTTTTGCACAATTTTAATAAATTTCCCCGCCAACGGACAACAACTTGACAATATCTTGAAGACAAAGCGACTTTCTCAAGCGATAAAAGAATATCAGTATTCCTCGGCCGGTCTTATTGGATTTTTTTAAATGAGGAATACAAATTAAACATTCATAAGGATCCCCGAGTTTGAATGCTAAACTTGACGGGAAATGATTTTTAATCATGATTTTAGTAAAAGAAATATCGTGTTTAAAAGTCTGATTTATGTTTCATCGTAAAACGGAGTATACTCATGTTTTTTTTTTAGGAATTTTGTAAAAATCATATCCTTTATCGTGCATTTAAATGGGTTCAATTTACTACGTAAAAATCTATGGTCTAGAGGGTCTAAATTATATGATGAAATTTGCGTTCTTTGTTTTTTGAATTACGAATACGATTACGAATTAAACGTAAGGTTCTTATTGCTTGATTATTCCATACAAATTTTAAGTACTACATATTGGTACAATGGATTTAAAAAATACAATGATTTAAGGGAAGGGTTGCTCTTTGTACTTTTAGGGTAGATTGTTTGATATTTATAACGCAATTTCATTATGTCATGACTGTTATTTTTCAATTAGAGAATGTTTTAAAGGATTCCTTGTTGACGGAAATCCGTTAAAATAGCTTTTATAATAGCAAAGATAATGCATGACATTTGAAAGGTCCCTTATCGCTGTTACCAGGCAGTACACAGTGGCTGTTTTAAATCCACCCCTAAAATAATATATTTTCACTTTTATGTACAAGCACTTTCCTGGTATAAAATTATGTTGTTAATGCAAAATTTGTACTTTTACTTACAATGCTTTGATGCTAGATAGGTTTCTTTACGGCTTTTTATGTGCTAACATTTTTTTTATACCTAACTGAAATAGGAGGGTTATGTTTCGCACGTATTTAAGTTCCATTGTGATCGCTTACAGGCTAAAAGACTGATCGGATTTGGACGAGTGATGTGGCATTCAATTTGTATTGGAGTTTTTTGATATTTTAATTAATAAAAGGTCTAGCTGTCGCCCGCGGCTTTGTCCATGCGGAATTAAAAATGTTAGTAGCCTATGTTTTCTTCCAGATGTTCTATATCAATGCCAAATTTCACCGTCGTTCTGGAGATACCTACTAATAAACATCCATCCATACAAACATTCGCATTTATAATATTATGATTTGCCTTGACTTCATTAGTAATTATTACCACTGTAAAATGAAGACAATAGAAAAACTAAATTAACAAGTCTAGTGTCTACCATACCTTATCTGACGTCACTGATGAGTTTACTTAAACACCTGACACTTCTACGATATATGTATATTTTTAAACTTTTTCCACGTCCACTTGCAGCCAGTACTATTCTCTTATGAAATACCTTAAGATTTGTTTTCACAATAAATCAGTATCAATGCACGGATAATAAACAAAAAGTAATAAACAGGAAATGTTGTATACATATATTAGTTGAGAATATAATAGTTAATGTATAGTTTAAAGTCATCTGTAATAGTAACGACATTTATTAGTTATTGTAGATAGACAAGACCAGAGATCTAACATTTCTGTTGTCATATAAGAACGTGTACAGACATACTAGAGTACCAATATAACTTGAACTTTGAAATAATACTTAATAACTTTTAATCCTGTGACTAACCAGTGCGATATCCCGATTGTGGTATGTATAAAATCTTAGATGCTTCCTTAAGGCAAAAATTTTATCTGACCCTCTGAATTCTCGTATCGGAATGCTAAACATGTGACTACGTTGAAATCCCTTATTTTATCGTTGGATAAAATCAACAGAGCGTTTTACGAGTAATCAATTTACCTATGAGTTTGTTTTATTGTTCGTTTTATATATACGATGAAGCTACCATCTCTGCTTGTCTGCTAAAGGAAGGAAACTGGCTATTGTTTACAAATTTATTGTCGCTTGAGTAAATTAAATTTATTACGTTTTGCATACAAATTTTGAAATGTAGAAAGAAAGCTTTGAAGTTTTGAATCCTGATCTTCATAATTTGTTATGTCGCAATAATTATTTTAGGTAAAAATATTTATATATGATGATGTAGGCCGATTTTGTACTCAATTATTTTAATTTGTGTTGTGTATTTTAATCAAATTAGTAAACATGTTATCGTTTAATTAGTCTATATTTATAAAGGTTGATGAACTGCGGTTTTAAACTAAATTTGACAAGCTATATTTAGAATGCAACTTTGTTTATATCCTACTAGTTGTCACGTTACTTCGTCTACGCGAAATTAAAAAAAAAAACTTAATTAGCTAAACTTAGTAGCCTATGTGTTCTTCCTAACTATGCTCTACCTGTATGCCAAATTTAATCAAGATCCTTTGAACCGTTTTGGAGATACCTAATAACAAACGTCCATCAAAACATTCGCATTTATAATATTAGTAAAATAGGTTTGTAGAATGCTAAAGAGGATGCTTTTGTATCGATTCAAGTAGTCATTAAGGTTTGAGACAATTTTCGCCTTCAGAAATATTTACTTTCAAATAATTGAAATATATCTTACTAATTCGAAATCAATACCGCACGTAGATTTTCTTTGTCTTATTAATTTTTCGTTCACTCTTATAAAAAATCATATTGTACCGGGCATCGAACCCGCAATGCCATATCCACGTGTTGACTTAGCAATCAATGACATTGCCCGATTCGGCACAATGGTAACGGATGCTCGGTTATTCAGCGTGCGGTAATGGCAAGTGTTTGGTATGTAATTAGCACGTGTTTTGTTACTAGTAAGGTCGAAGGAATGCCGATGGACGTTGTAACTCGGTATGGGAATCGAACCTGAATACGTATGGATAGGATGATTAATCTCTCGTTGAACAAAAGAACAAGGAAAGAAGAGAAGTTACTTTGTTATCTGACCCGATAACTGTAATTATGCACATAAAATTACCAGGAGAACAGAGGATGGAAGGTGGTTGAAGCAAGTCTAGGTAAACGGTGTAAAGTTGTATTACTCTTTTCAGCTGTATACAACTACACGAGCAGCTCGCAGCACCACCTGCAGCTGGAGGTGGGCGAGCTGGTGCATCTGCAGCGCGAGACCAGCCAATGGTACTGGGGCACCAGTCTGCGCGCGGGTACTACCGGTGCCTTCCCAAAGACATACGTCGTCATACGAGAGTGCACCGTCGATAGGTAAGATATTTTGATAACAAAGCAATGTCTCATCATGTTACTAGGGTTGTCAAATTAAAACGTATACCTAAAGTCTGGCAACGAAAAAAGACGAAAGCTTGAAAAAAAAACATACTCTGTTCCGAAGAAATCCATGGTTTTTTGTCCGACGCCTTTAGTTAAAATCAGATTATTTTGAATTGCACCGATTAACTTTACAGTATTTAGGAGTTGGCAACCCTAGATTTCAGGCATTCCTTATTCAATAATAAGGTTTTAATTCACGCGAGTACCGAACCCGCGACCTCATATTTGATGACCGAGGCCGCCAATTGACCGGGTCTCTGACCCCATTGATAGCCGGCCGTCCGGCTAATTGATGTTATCACTTCATTTTACAATTTATCAAGCACAGCTGTACAATGCTTCCGGTTAAATTTTGTACAGCATCATAAAGAACCGTTACATCAATAATATTTTTTATTATTATCGTAATATCATCTACTGTGACTGTCGCGTGTTTGTAACCTAGCCACATTGTAGAGTGCCTTTAAACTCCTTCTAATATTATAAATGCGAAAGGAGGTATAATCCGGAATGGCTCAACGGGTCTTAATGGAATTTGGCACAGATGTAGAATATCAGTCTGAAAGAACACATTGTTTACCAATAAACTTTTCTTTTAGTTTCATACGGACGGAATCGCGGGAAATAGGTAGTTTTGAAATAATGTAAAAAATAATTTTCTATGTAAAAAAAAATCTATATTATCGATAAGTATTTTAAAAATAAATTTACTCACAAACTTTGTTATTTCGAACACGCTTCAGCAATTTGTAAGGAATAGCTTCAGTAATAAGGAGGGCGTGATGCTCCTCTTAAACTCAACCATTCATCTTTAGTCGAATTTTGAACGTTTTCGTTTTCTGTAATCGTCTGCAGAGGATAGGAATGCGATTGAAAGGAGATGATCATTTTATATAGAACTAGCTGTCGCCTGCGATTCCGGCTGCGGGGAAAAAAATAGTAACCTATGTGTTCTTCCAGGCAATGTTCTATATGTATGCCAAATTTCATCAAGATCCGTTCAGCCGTTCTGGAGATATCTTCAAACAAACATCCATACATGTGGACATCCGTATTTATATTATTAAAATATCTCTTTTGACATTTTCTCTCGGAGCTAAAAGGTCATTTTTAGGGAGCATAATCTAAACTGAAATATCAACATAATGGGATCTGACGTGTGCAAAATATGTCATCTCTTTTGGTTTTTTTAGGACATGAAAGGGATAATATAATATTTGTGCGGTTGTTTTTAAACATTGTACCAGGATAGATAAAATAATGGTAATGAAAATAGGTTTATCAAATGAGATAATCTTTACGCTTTGGCTACCCGGGCGTCCGGTACTGACTTTTGTTGATATGATTGCATTCAAGATTAGCCAGTGGTTGGATGATATCTATATGTATATTATATATAGATATATAAAAGAAAGTCGTTATAGTTAGACTATTTATAACCCAAGAACGGCTTTATCAATATGGCTGAAAATTGGTGAGGAGGTAGCTTAGAGCCTGGAGAGGGACATAGGATAGGATTTATTCATTTTTTTTTCGAATTTATGTCTTAAAGAGCTGCTTTTTATTTAACTTACTAATATTATAAATGCGAATGCTACAGTAATTAAGTTTTTTATATATCCACGCGGGCGGAGTCGCGGGCGACTGCTAAATTTATTTAAAGATAATTGTAGAGTGCATTATTTTTATTACTTGTCTGTTCAATGTTTCAGTCGATAAAGAAGATATAAACAAACATTTTTGTAGCGTCATGTCTTTGATTTGTAAGTTAATTTGGATTTTGAATTTTGAAATATTTAAACATGCTATCACTTTCATTCTTGGTGAAAAAACAGAGATAACGATATATCGGATAAATTTTTAACAATAAAAATATATGTGTAAATTCGATTTAAGAGTTATACCAGCTTACAATGCGTCCCCACTAAGGGGATACACTAAGTTAAGGGAGGGTTAATACTTTCAATATAGGGTTTTTATTTTTTTTACGTAAATTTACAATAAGTGTATTTCACACAAATTTTGTATACGATAATTTTTATCCTCAACTCATGTGAGCTCTCCCATTATTTCCCCAGAGAACGTTTGTACGGTTCGTAGTAAATAATGTTGCAGGAAAAAATGTAGGCGCGATAAGAGTAGGCCAGTCTCTGGGGTGTGATGTATCTTGCTATTTACTTCCGTATGCTCTAAATATGTCTGTTATATTGGATGTTACCACGTTTAATATTACGAAGCTTCCGGAAAGAAAATTATTGCCGGCCATGTATGAGATAATTTACCCTATAATTATAATGTCTTGTATTAATAATTCCTTTAATTTAAGTGTTGGCTGATTCGTTAATGTATTGTTCATGTAACTGTAGATGTAGTCTTTGACATCTTCCTTTTTAAATAACTATCAGCACTATTCTTGATATGTAAGAGAGGCAAAGACCATGAACCCTTACATACCATTATGGCTTATTCTTCTACCTCTACTACCTCTCTTTGTAAGCAGAAGGATCTTTCTACATTTTTTAGTAACGTATCAGTAGTTTGCATTGAGATACTGGCTCCCGTAGATGCGGGGACGTCGTCGTGGCGTCAGCGGGCGGGCGCGGTGTGGTGCACGACATCGCCGTCACGCTGCGGGAATGGCTCAAGGACTGGAAGAAACTCTATATTGTGAGTGTAAACATGAAATGATATATTTCTTACGTACTTCGTACACAATGCAATTTAAGTCTATGGGAACCGGCGATTTTAGTCACTAAGCGAATTCGCAAAAGAATGTGATAAAAGTTCGACAACGAATATACGACGCGCGTCGACGCTTGGACGTCGTGTGTACGGGGCGCAACGCGATTGTAGTGAAGCAACCATACGATATTAGTTTCCAATATTCACGTTGCATTGTGTACGGTTTTACTGATATTATGAGAGCTATAACTTTTCGGATGAGTCATAATGTTTGTAGTGTCTGTTGTAATGTGTAGTCGTGTTCTTTCAGACGAATAGCGAACACTTCAAGTTCATGGAGGTGAGCATGCGGGCGCTGCTGGAGCTGCGCGCGCAGGCCGCCTCCAGCGCGCTTCCTCAGGACCAACTGCGTAAGGTCGCGCGGACCGCCATTTTCACCATCGACAAAGGAAACAGGTAACTAAGGGGCGCTGTCTTACATAAAGTAATGTATAGCCATAGGGGAAAGTTGGATCAGAAGTCTTATGGTGACTTAGACCAAGTTATTTATGTGTTTCTGGTGCTTTTTTTGGTAAATTAACTGATTAAAAACTGCTGCACATAATATGTACTGTTTGCAGAACTTTGGATATGGAGCTAGCGGTGCGGACCCCCACCGGCCAGCTGGTGGACCCCCTCACCATATCCACTTACAAATTAAACGCGCTCCATGATGAAGCAAACGCAAGACTGGATAAGAATATGGTAAGACTTCGAGATGCTAACTTTAACACAACTGATACTTATCTTGCACACGAGTTGTTAATTGGTCACTCAGGAAATTGTCTATCGTACATTTCTCATATTGAATGCACCAAGGGAGATCATTAGTAACAGTTAATGTTTGTGTACAGGATAGCGCGCCGGGTGGGGGCGGGGGCGGGGCGAGCAGCGGTGTGGGCGGGGCCGGGATCGGGGGCGGGGCTGGGCGCGCGCACACACTGGTGGTGCGCGTGCACAACTTCGTGTGCCGCGTGCCGGAGGGGGCGGAGCTGCGGCTGGCGCTGCACGACGCGGCGGGACAGAAGCTGACGGAGCAGCTGGTGCTGGCCTGGCCGCCGCACCACCTGGCGCCCGCGCAGCTCATGTTCACTGTAAGTTCACCAAATATCACATTATAAAACTATCTCACCCGACATTTTCAGTAGTGATTTATATAAAATGAACTGTGTACAGTACTTAACTACTACTATAACAAAGCTTAGAAACCACTGCTCCAGTATTATCATTTGATACTAACTGTCGCCCGCGACTCCGTTCGCGGAGAATGAATAATAGCCCATGCGTTCTTCCAGACATCTACATTTATGCCAAATATCAGCGAGAGCCATGCAGCCGTTCTGCAGATACTTTCTAACAAATATCCATCCATACATCTAAACATTCGCACTTATAATATAAGTAAGATGTAAGTTGTGACACTGTGTGCAGGACCTGGGCAGTGACATAAAGAAGGAGAAGGTGTTCCTGGTGTGTCACGTGGTGCGCATCGGCTCCATGGAGGCGCAGAACATCGATCACAGGTCACTGTTCACAGCAATATCTTCTCAGCAGTATCAAAACACGCCTGTCTTTTACCTTTTTCTAGCCAATATAGTATTTTCCCGCGACTTCGTCCGGAATTAAAAAAACCTATTAATATAGTCTATGGCACCAAGGGACAGTGTAACTTCCTAAAATTGTAAGAATTTTTCAAATCGGTTCAATAGTATACCGGAGCGTATTCAGTGCAAACAAACAAACAAGCAAATCGTGTCTCTTTATGTTATTAGTAATGACGTGAAATTTAACAATGACTCGTAGTTCCAAACCGGAGCTGGCTTGTGACAAACGAGTTTACATTTCCATACCAATATTTTAAAATATTAATAGTTTTTGTTTTAAAATTGGGCTTAATTCCCCACAGGGCTAGTCTATCGCCGTACACCAGAAGTAAGATGTCGTAAGTTATATTTTTCATTCAGTTATTTGCTAAAATACGCGAAATGTAAGCTCTATGTTACAAGTCAGGATACATTCCACTTTGTCTGCTTTTCTATGCTTTTTTGCCATTTAATGATGACATAAATTAATAAAAAAAAAATCTTTAACATTCTGAGAAAAGAAAATAATTATAACAGCCCTAGAAATAAGTTAAGCCGTTTTAATAGGTCGTAATGTAAAATTATTATTGTCGCACTCAGAGTTAAATCTATACGAAGCGATTCTCTGGGGCGACTCTGGAGTGCATTTAGAGAACTACCCTTGTATAAGTCAGGCAATGTAATATTCAAGTGTATGGATATAGTGTAGGTGGATCAGTCAGTAAGCAGTTGACATGTAATCTGCAGCTCCTGGGTTCGATTCCTACCATGTTCCAATGTATCCATTTTCAATTAACATATGTACATTTACCTTATGTTGTTACGGTGAAGGTAAACATCGTGTTGCACATATCTGAGAAGTAAAATTCAAAGATATGTGTGAAGTGAACCCGCACCAGGGCAACGTTGACTATGTCCTAGTGACTCCTGGCTCAGGGTAGGGTGCTGAGTGTCAGTGTGTACGTGTTGTGTCCAGCAGACGCAGCTCGGTGGCGGGGGGCGTGTCTGGGGGCGTGGCCGCGGGGCACGTGATGCGGCGTCCGTTCGGCGTGGCGGCGGCGGACGTGACGCGCTGCCTGGCCGCAGACTGCCCCGACAAGGAGATGCAGGTGCCCTTCTACCCGTGAGTATCTCGTGCACGTGCTACATGCACACATGTACACTCAGGGCACTTCGCGGTGTTACACTTATAAAATTGCATTGTTCATTGAAATGAGACAGATTCCGCCCTCTTACAAATAACCAATTAGATAGTAGCTAAGCAAACATAGGATATAATATAAAGCAATTACATTGTTTGTTTTCGCGTTGTCGTCTAGCCCATTTATAGGCCATTTATCTTTAGTTAAAGATTTTAAACTATCTATGTTTTTGTAATGTTTTATTCTATGTATAAAATAATGAACTTTCAGATGCGAAAAAGAGAACATGGATACATTATTGAAGAAGGTGATAGCAAATCGCGAGTTGAAAGACACGAAGAACCCGCTGGGTCTGTGGGTGTCGCTGCAGCTCATTGAAGGAGATTTGAAACAAGTTAGTGAGGAACATTAGTGTGCAACTATAATTTTTTTTATTTCTTTGTACATAAGTGACTAAGCGACAATTTGCTGGACATTACATGCAAAGTGGGAAGGGAATTTAATTCTTTGACTGTTCAATGATTTTGTTTTCAAATACTATAAAAAGGATGAATCTTCAATTTTTATTAATTAACTAGCTTATGCCCGCGACCCCATCCGCGCGGAATTAAAGAAAAACTTGATAAATAGTCTGTGTATGTACAAATTTTATCAAGATCCGTTTTCGTATTAAAACAAACATCCATTCGCATTTATAATATTAGTGAGATAAAAATGTAATAATCGAGGTACGAGAAGAGAATCCCCACTTGGTGGTGGGTCACCGCGCGGTGGCGAGGAAGATGGGGTTCCCCGAGGTGATCCTGCCGGGCGACGCGCGCAACGACCTGTACGTGACGCTGTGCTGCGGCGCGTACTCGCGCGGCGGCGGCAAGTCCAGCGAGCGCAACATCGAGCTCACTGCTAGAGTCGTCGACAAGCACGGCAGGCTCGTGCCGGTACGTGCACTGACCGCCTCGCGCGCCTCGCGCGCCTCACGCGCCTCACGCGCCTCGCGCGCCTCGCGCGCCTCACGCGCCTCACGCGCCTCACGCGCCTCACGCACCTCACACACGTGACACATTCTGACACACTTTACATTGTACAGATGAGACAAAAATAGAATTGTTTCAGGGCGTGATATCGATAGGAGCAGATCTGCCTCTAGTGGACGAATACACGTCTCTAGTGTACTACCATGAGGATAGACCTAGGTGGCAAGAAGTTTTTAAGGTAAGGGTTAAAGTCAAGTGCAAATTAGTTGAGTATATACACACATGTGTGAAATGAATATGTCAATATGTTCATCAGGTGTGCCTGAACATCGAGGACTTCAAGGAGGCGCACATAGTGTTCCTGTGCCGACACCGCAGCTCCAACGAGGCGAAGGACCGCGCGGAGCGGTACTTCGCGCTCTCCTACCTGCGTCTCATGCAGCGCGAGGGCACCACCACGCCCGACAACCAGCACAACCTCTGTGTCTACAAGGTACCTGCCACCTACCCAGCTACCCAGCTTACTCTACTCTAGCCTCGTTCCCTACCCACCCTCTTCTTATCAGGAAAGGATGGGGATTTGACAGAGGTGACATATAAAGTTGAAATATTCTCTTCCTATGAGTCTCTTCATCCGTAGATTGAAGGCCTGTGAGCAGTGGTTACCTCTCTATTTTGGCAAATTCATTTGGCCACTTGCTCGTTTACCAACTTTTAATGTAGGAAGAAATCTTTAAAATAGTAGTCGGTAGATCCTATTAAACTTCGCTTACCAAAGTTAATTCTATCCGAAGATCGATAATAAGCGAGCGGGTAGCGAGGCAGAAGTGGAGGCTGCGGCCGTGTGCCTCGGCCTGCCGTCCAAGCGGGATGAGCTGCCCGCCGGCGCGGAGAAGGGTCTCACCAGAGCTCCACTCTCACTGGTCTACAGGGACTCGCTGACAGTTGCCACTAAGCTGTGTTCCACCAAGTTAACTCAACGAGGTATATTTATTTTACCATTTTTTTTAGATTGTTATGTATATCCGACTCGAAGGACTATGTATGATTGATTTGAAGTTTATTTGTATTTAATAAACCTATTGAAGTCTCAGAGTCATTAAGTGGTCTCCATAGTGTAGATTTAGTATAAGATGAAATTACACTTAAGGACTTTTTCAATGACTATGGTCTCCGAGTGGTTTTCTATTTATTTAATACTGTATATATGTGTTTGTGTGTGTAGAGGAGATCCTGGGCGTGCTGAAGTGGAGCGCGCATCACGAGGCGGGTACGCTGCGCGCGGCACTAGAGCGGCTGCTGCTGGTGCCCAGCGAGGAGCTCGTCAAATTCCTGCAGGACATCCTCGACGCCCTCTTCGCCATACTCACACAGGTACACAATGATTTAAATTAAACCTCCGGCACGCACAGTTATCAGATTGTACGTAGAATTAGTTTAACTTGAGGCTAGTCTTATTTGTGGTCGTAGATGTTACTGTCTCACAGTAAGAAGCATAAGTGGTAATAACTAGCTGTTGCCCGCGACTCCGTCCGCACAAAATTAATTTGTAGTCTAGAGATACCTTCTTACAAAGATTCATACATCTAAACATTAGCATTTATAATATTAGTAATATGTGAATTTCTCAGGTGGAGGATGGCGAAGCTGATGGTTCGTACAACGAGCAGAGTTACGGTGTGCTGGTGTTGGAGTGCCTGCTGCGTGTCATCTCGCTGGTGGCAGACCACAAGTACCAGCACTTCCAGCCTGTGCTACATGTTTATATCGACGAGAGCTTCTGTGACGCCCTCGCTTACCAGTCAGTATTATACACGAGAAACATATGTATCAAACATTATGTCTATACGAATACTACAAATAGGAAACATTTGGTTGTTTTGGATAGGCTCTGAATTTACTGAATTTATTTGAAAAATTCTTGTTGGGAAGCTACACTATCCCCAGGTGTCAAAACATATATTTATTACTATTTTTTATTCCACGTGGACGAAGCAGCGGGCATCTGCTAGTCTTTTATAAAAAGAGTAAGAGGGATGGATGATTGTTGTCAAAAATGTTTCGATAGTGAAAATTCATTGCAAGACAAGATATTTAGAAAAGATAGCGAGTCCAACCTCAGATAAATCACTATAAGCAAAATGGCACAGATTTATCTATGTTTGCTTTGATAGTATTGTTTTTAATATCATAAGTCGTCAAAAGAAGCAAGCGGCAACCATTAATCGTTGAAATATAGAAGCGACCATCAGCCAGACCATTATAGTGAACGAGATGATAATGTTGCAGGAAGCTGATATCAGTGATGGTGTGGGCGGTGCGCGGGGCGGAGGGCGGGGAGGCGGCGCTGAAGCGGCTGCTGCTCTGCATGAAGTGTCTGGAGAGTCTCATGCGCCTCATCGTGCGCAGCTGGCAGCTGCGAGCCGCGCTGGATACTCATCAGCATGATGGGGATCCCGTCTGCTATCACCTAGAGGTCTGTCATCTTTAACTTCCTGTATGTTAACTTCGCCTAAGGGTTTTTCTAAAGTGTTGGAAGCTATTCTATAATGCTCAATTTTAACTTTTACTGCCACATTTGAAATTGTTATATATGCAAATGTTTGGATGTATGGATGGATGTTTGTTAGAATGTATCTTCAGAACGGCTGAATGGTTTTCGTTGAAATTTGGCATGGATATAGGATGGCAACGATGAACACTAACTCTGGGTTTCAGGGACCAAAATCTCTGTATAAAAGATATCATCTCTATCCATGTTTGAAAAAAAAACAGTAAGCTAAAGTTACACTTATTATTTTGTTTAGGAATTGCTGGAGGCGCTGGTGTGGCTGATGAGATGCGGCGACCACGCGCTCACGTGCCAGGGCTCCGCGCTCAAGTACCTGCCGCATGCTGTACCTCACGCCATCAAGATATTCCCCGAGGTCGAGCTCAGGTCAGCGGGGAAACATATTCCTATACAAAAACCAACATTAGTAAATGTTCTACAAGAATTAAACAATGAAAATATAATAAAAAAAAATGTAGACATTTTTATTGATATTATGGAGCTGAAAGTACTTGTATCAACGGTATCTATTCAATAAAATGCTACCCCAAGTATAATTTTGGTGAATGCAGACATTGATTGACCTTGTTGTGTATATAAACATTATGTGCAACGTATCCAGTGCGTACTGCGTGCGCGCGCTGGACGCGCTGCCGCTGGGCCGGCTGAGCAAGCAGCGGCTGCTGGCGCTGCTGGAGCTGACGCGCGGCGAGCTGGGCCGCGAGCCCGCCGCACGCGCCCGCCTGCTGCCCCACCTCGCCGCCACGCTGCGCGTGCTGCTGCGGGCCTCCGCAGAGGTACAAACACGCAGACATACAAAACATACGTCGAGCATCCACTTTTAAACACGGCTATAAATAAAGAAGGATAGTTTTACTCCACTTTTCCTCGCCAAAGAAGGGACGCATGGTAAGGGGAAATATTTTCTTACTGTGCGTCCCTATCTAACGTTGATTAAAGGTAGGCAACGCATCTACAATTGTGGATGTCGATGGGTAGCGGTCGCTTCGCTATTTCGGCGAATTTTGATGACCGCTCGCTCCTTTGCCACCTTCAAATGTTAAAGTTTTATATTAGTTTAATAAATGTAGGTCGTTTAAAAGCTACGGATTTCATACAATACATACATTCCATTGAATAATACAACACTAATAGATGGTACAATCTCACACCTCCATACATGTGGTATTAACGTTGTGTCCGTCTGTTACACCTCACCTGTCATGGTATGTATGCACATGCACTGTATTACACGACTCAGTCTTAGGCGAGTATCTTTTATTTATAGTTTATTTTATAATCTTTCCCTTTCCACCATTTTCTTATAAGGAGACACATAGTGAGGGACATTCTCTTCCTGTGTGTCCCCTTCTCTGGCAATGAGCAGCGGTTGTTTCACTTTTGTGGCAGCTTGTACGTTTCCATCAAACATCAATGTATACTCGCCCCAAACTGAGTCGTATATAGAAAGGCAGTTGGCGGCCGCTGGTCACGAGGTAAGCACGCATGAAGCATGCTACGTGTTGTATATGTTAATGTTTGGTTTCCACTGTCGAACATTTTGTATATAATCATATTGTCATCTCTTTCATTCTCTTTGTAGTAAAACGGGACGACATTATGTGTCTACAGTGGAATTGTACGGTTATATATGAAAGAGCTTTTGTATTCTATTCACATCTTCTTATAAATAATTTTCTTTAAATTTTATATGCTTCTGGATTTGATAATAAAAGTTGGTCCTTCGAGTCGGATGTTGAAATCTTGGTTAAAGACAAAGTCATTTTTTACAGTGTATGTAAAAAAGTGACTGACTAAAATAAAATACAAAAGCTTTTTCGTTTTTTAATTGTAAAAAAATGTACATCTGTTGAAACTGACAAAAATAATTGTGACTAACAAAATGCTTATTTTTATAATTGTAAGGTTAATTGCTACACATAATCTCGTACTAAATCTACATTAAGGGACGCCCTTAGTTAACATTAAGCGAGTATACGTATAGAAACTAGATATAATAATTTTATTTATATTAAAACCTTTGTTGTCAAATATATAGACTCTTAGGTAAACTCCAAAAAAAACTTGCACAAACGATTAATTTCTCACGTTTAAATTCAAATTAATAACCAAACAAGTAATATATTGAAATACTAGTTGTTACCGGCGACTTCGTCGGGGATAAATTAAAAAAGGGGTCTGTTTTCTTTTAGACTAAGTTCTAAATCTATGCTAAATTTCAGTGAAATCCAAGCAACCGTTCTGATGAAACTTTAAAAAAACCATCATCTATCCTAAATTGACATTTATTAGTAAGATGTAAGATTTAATAAGAATACTAAAGAATGAAATTAATACAAATGTACTAATTTTAGGAATAATTTTGCTTAAGTAATATGAAGATCATTGTACTCGTATAATGGCACCCAGATGGCACAAGCATCGTGAGGTCTGCACACAACGTGAGCTAACGTCTCACACTATCTCTCATACATACACATCTCACTTGTATGTTTGTGTTGTGTGTAGCATGTATGATACAGGGTCGGGTTAAGCAATACATTTCATTGATTTTTTTAGGGTTCCCTACCTCATAGGAAAAAACGGAACCCTTGTTACTTTGTTGTCCGCCCGTCTTTATGTCAAGATCCTTTTTCTTCAAAACGCGTGAAGCTGGAATTTATTTCATACTTTCCTTTCATTAGTGTTAAATTATTCAAACTTTCGTGAGACATTATAATAAACTGATATAAAAAGGGCTAAACACTGACGTATACTTGTTTTGAGCCCATCGGGGTGAGTGGGACTGGTATTATTTCGCGGACGTGGTCCCTCGCGCGCTGACCGATGGGCTCGAATCTAGTCGGTGCCGCCGCCGGACGAGAATACGTGAGTGTTTAGCCCTTTTTATATCACTTTCATTAGTGAATTCATTTGTTGTTTTCTATACGAAACCTTTATGGGTAATTCTGAAAAAATAGCCTTAAATTGATAATTATATTGCTTAATTCGATCCTCGTGTGTTGTTGAATATTTCTTGTAAAAGTTTTAATGTGGGGTAGATATAGAATTGGGGTATATTAGCGTCGTGATAAAGGTGTAGTGATATCTCTTTTTGTCTCTTAAAGAAGTTAACAGTGGTAGAGCGAGCTTTAGCATGTTCGCACGAATTGTCCCGGCTCGCCCGGTGATATACCACGACCATACAGAAGACAGGCCTCAAGTGCAGTCTGATGAGTGCGCGTCCCGGAGGCCTAATATAGTCCTCTTTCCCTTCCCACCCTTTTTTATAAGGAAAGGATGGGAAGTGGAAGTGGACTTTCCGGATGAGAGGATGCATGGAAAGGGAAAATATTTTCTTTCTGTGCATCCTCTCCTCCGTCGATTAAAGGTACGCAACGCATATGCAATTGCGTATGTCTATGGGCAACGGTCACTTCGCTATTTCAGCGATTTCAGGTGGCCGCTCGCTCGTTTGCCACCTTATAATATTAAAAAAAAATATAGAAGGAAGCTTCTTGTCTTCACTTTCCTTCTTATAGTAAAAGAAAGGGATAAATATGTTATAAGATATCGCTACGCCTTTTATGTAACGCGTACTTTATAGATTAGAAAGATTGGGGCTATGTCATTGTGAATTTTATGTTTGTCTTGTTCAATACTATTCCTATATTGTAGTTGTTTTTTTTTCTTTTAATTATGAAAATTTATCATATTACGAATGATATATTAACACTAGCTGTCACCCGCGACTCCGTCCGCGCGGGATTAAAAATAGATGTTGACCGATTCTCAGACCTACTCAATATGTTCACAAAATTTCATGAGAATCTGTCAAGCCGTTTCGTAGGATTATAGGAACGAAAATTGTGACACGAGATATATAAGATAATAAGCTCGGTTGTCTTCCAATTTCTTTTTTAAATAAAATTAACTTTGATATTTTTTCTTGATGAACCGGGGACTGGTGCCCAAACTAGAGTGGTACCCTGGGAGATGGATCATAAGGTTAAAAGCCCCACAGACCACAAATTATAAACTATAAATAATTAAAAATTTGATGAGTTTTGAACAATATTGTGTTGCATATAGAACGAGCTGTTATCTAATCCTCACAGCGTTGTTGTGTGTTGTGTGTGTACGTGTGTGTCGTCACTATATTACTAACAATATGTATTATGTGTAGTCTGTTTGTATTTGTTTATATGTTGTGTATGTCACATGTTTCATTAATCAATACACGAACACAGAAACAACATTTTTTTTATTAACTTTTTAAAGACACATTCCAAATAAATACTCGGACACAAATGATATTACTGTAAATTTATCTACTTTGTTTATTTCTAGATTATCATAAAAATAATATTATTTATTTACCTAGTTCTTTTTTATCTATTTCTGCCTATATATAAGACATTAACTTGACAAACAAAATTTTGTTACATTTTTTATTTTATTTAACATGTTTTTTTTTATTTGATTTTAATGTGCTATTATAATATTAATAAAAGTAAAAAAGCGAGCTTTCGATGTCGTTTGAAAGTTGAGTTGTGTGCAATCTCTTGATGTTATGTACAGTTGTTTGCATTTTTAGTGGGATGAATTTTAATTTTTTTTAACGGTATAAAGACATATTGGCATCTCTCTTGTTGCTATTGAGAAAACAAGGATAGAAATATATTTATGTACAAGGATTTTGAACACTTAAAATGCAGTCGAGTGTACACTCACGAACTGTTAATTAAGCTTGTGAGTTTTTAGCCAACTGTTATAAATTTAACTGTCAGATATGTTGTTAAGAATTAAAAATATTGTTATATTTGTAACTGTTGGCTTACTAACGCTACCGCGTGCTTCTGAACTTTACCCGCCGCCGAGAAGAGTTTAAAATTAATTAAAATGTTTTGTGTATTCAGTGTTTAAATAAAAATAACTTGGATCGAAAGCAGCATGTGCAAAAAACGATTGATTTTACGCTTTTCGATGCTTATTAGTGTACACTGATTTGACGTCAACAAATTCACAAAAACTATTCCGTTCAAGTTTTGTTGTATTTAATAAAATACTCAGTAGAATTACCTAAGTTTTTTTGACAAACAGTGTAAAACTACTACTACTAGTGACGAAGTAATCGCGAAAGTAAAAATGGTTGATTTATGACGATAAAGTAGTGATTTGGGCGACTCAATATAGTCAGATCAGTCTGTACTAAGTAAGGGCGCGGTGAGGTTACGCTTGCATAAGCGTAAGCGGTAGCGGTAGCGTGCGTGCGTGTGGCAGTGCGAGCGCGAGGCGGCGCACAAGTCGCGCTCAGCGGGCAAGGCGGCGCGGCTGCTGGGCGCGGACGCTACCCGGCTACGCGAGCACACGCACCACGCCCACATCGTACGTACCGCTAGTGTCACTGGTGTTACGCCGCCCTAACCCGCTCTATCTACACGACGTGTCGGCACACATTCACTTATAAATACACTTAGTAAGCTGTAAGTATATAGCTTTATGACTAGTGCTATCTATCTGCTGTATGGAGTGTCAGTAAGTAGATATAAACACATCGTAAGTACCGCTAGTGTGTCAACACCCTAATAGCAATTTTTTTACGCAGTGTGGGACCACTTTAATTTATATGTACACCAAAAAAACATTAAGTAAGTAGCTATAATACCTTCAAAGTTCACGCTGAAATGTTATAAGGTCTGTTATTATAAATGTACTATATCATCATCTCATCCCTTTCATTTTCTATCAATAATAAGTCAGGCATGTATATATATTCATAAGCTTTGCTATGAATGGGTGATGAGTTATTGAACAATGTTGCTCAGTGTAAGTATTATCCTTAACATTAGCACGATCGAGTTCCATAAATCATGATTGGATTTAATTATATGAATTAACTTATTGTTTGTTTTTATGCTGCATTCTCCTAGTAAACAAGGTTAGTGTCAACTACATAATGGGTTAAAGATTTAACTGTTATTTACTACATCTTTAATATTAATCATTTTTATCATGTAACGAGACATAATCGCAAGGATATGTGATTCGGTGACAGGTGCTGCTATCGCGATTGGTACTATCACAAAATATATAAAACCTACATGAGCATTTAAAATGCTATTAAAGAACAATACAAGACAGGTAAAATACGTCAAAAATCTTTTGACACTTTTTTGACATTTGACAGGTGGCGCTAGTGATCTGTCATAATTGAGTTTGATTTATGCCTACCGGGTCAGATATCTTCGTGGATTTAAGCTATACAATTAATAACTAACTAATCATCATTATTTGTAATTGATAGTAAATTCACTACACTTAACTACACTCAAAAACTATATTTTAGTTTGTAAATATACCAAGGTTATACTTAGGTGGAACTGTGCGTGGAGACAATGGGAGAAGTAGTGTCCCTGCTGGCGCGGGACGACGTGGGCGCGGTGGAGGCGGACAGGGGAGAGTTCGCGCGCCGCATGCTGCCCACTGTGCTCAAGACGACCTCCACCATGCTCAGGGATAGACCTACTAATAAAGATGGATCCGTAGCTGATGATCCTTTAGTGGTGAGTGGCATTTCTACTAGGTTTAGTGATGTGTGGAAACAATTACATTTTAAATTGAGAATTGGGGAATTGTCTTTGCTGATTTTTTTCTCTATGTTGTCACAGCGTCGCATGGTCTGCGTGTTGCTGGACGTGGTGCGTCAGATGTCCGAGGAGCAATACTCGGTGCTGGTGCGCGCGCTGCAGCACGAGGCGGGGAGTGCTGGGGGTGCTGGAGGCGCGGGGGGCTCGCTTGTGGACGACTGCCTGGCGCTCATGCTGCAGCTCCTGCAGCGACCCGTTTTCCGCCCGCATTGGGCTGACATGCTGCATCTGCAGCATTACGTTATGCTGCACGCGCTCAGGTTAGTAAACGACTATCGTTCTTATTAGCATCGAAATAAAGTTCAAAGTGTAGATGTCATAAAGTATAAGTCTTTTCAAATATCTTGACAGCTTTTAATTTGTTGTGAGTCGCTTCGCAGAACATAATGCGATGGGAGAGCGCGACTCAGCGCGTCGATGACCTTGAGCCGCCGAGATATTTGAAGACAATTACAACAATCTGTTCTTAAAATGTTTATGACGATCAATAGTGATTTTACTAAACATACCAGACAGCATTGTTTGATTTGTAAATACCAAAGTTAGTATGAGAAATGTACACCAAAGGATTATAATAATTTTACCGCAGACTACTATCGAGTACGCTCCGCGAGCGGCTGCACTCGGAGGAATCGAAGTCGGATGTGC